AACATGATAATTCGATGTTTAAATAATGAATATTCATTGTAGTAGAAATGCATAGCTTTGCTTTTTCGTTGTTATATTCAGAATAGACGGTGTTCGATTCTTTCACTCTGCGTTTTTGTTAATCGGGCTTAGAATGCCGTCATTTGACTCGAAGGTTGTGTCGTCCGCCGTTTTTACGGTTTAAACCTCTTCCTTCCATATATGGGATTTAGCTGAAAATTGCCTGAAATGATACTGAGATGGTCATGATTAGTTGTTATTTTCCGGGTTTGTCTGAAAACCAATTTGGCCATTAGGATTAAAAAAACACATTTTGAACCTTCTTTTCGATTCTATTGTTCCCGCTGAGCTGAATGATTTAGGAATGTTAAGAAACAACTGAGTTGAGGAATGATTTTACTTTCACTGCCAAACTATACTGAACTATTCATTCAACTGTTAACTGTTTCTACTGCTACAGCTGCTGTTCATCATATGTAGGTCTTTATTATGTAACACGAAAACAACAACTTTTAGCTATAGCCTCGACAGTTATGATGACATAAACAATATTTCTCACGGCGTCTAAAAAGAAACAAATACGTTTATCGCTATCACTTGGATGAGGGTTATCATGTGTCTGTATAGTCACGTGATATACCTGTAACCGTACTATGACGTACCATTAAATCTTTTGTGTTAACATACCCATTTAAGATTGTTAACATTTGTCTTGTGTAAAGAAGTCTTGAGTGGACATCATGGCTGTATTTGACCGAAATGGTATCTGACACGGAGTCAAAGGGCAAAGCGATCACAGCGAGCACGTTACCTAGTCCAGTGTATCAGGTGTGTCGACTGTGGCTAACCTTGATGTGGGGAAGATAATCCTCAGTGTGTAGGATGTGATGAGCCATTCACCGTTAAACATTTTTATTGGCCTGCATTGACCTTCTGTCTACTCGAGAATGTTTTTATCGTAACATTACATGTATAAAAACCCTTTTGAAACTGTTGAGATTTGTAAAATTCTACATTACCTGAAAGATGTTGGTCTATACAATAGACTATGACGTAGCGTTTTAATCTTTTGTGTTAACATACCCATTTAAGATTTTTAACATTTGTCTTTTACCGTTTGGTTTGTTAAATGTTATTTCCTTTTGGGATCGCTGCGTGTTATACCGTTTGATGGCCCTAATGAACTTTTATGTGTTGACGGGCCGTTAAGAAAGTAATAATAATTATTATAACCTCTAGACTTGAAACTCCTGTGCGTTAGGTTTTTCTAAATAAGGAGCACTTGGTTGCTATTTTCTTCAATTTTGAAAAGGCTTACGATACAACATGGAAATACGGCAGGATGAAAGATCTGTTCAATATAGGTATCAAAGTTAAATTTTTATTTAAAGTAAAACATAATGAGTAGACAGGTAATACTTCAAATGCTATAAGTGAAGTATATCACACCGGTGAGGTGCCGGTTGATATTTTGTGCAACAGTAATGCAATTCATTGAAGTGCTTATCGACTTAAACTGCCTTATAAGCTGGATTGAAGTCACGTGGTTCTGTCTCACAGATAACGTGAAATTCCCATAAATCAGAAAATATTTAGCATTACCTACAAAAAGAAAGAAGGCGACATTTCAATTAATCATTTCCCCTTAAAGGAGCTAAATGTTTATTTTTGTCCCCGTATTGATATTGCATACTATTTCCAACATAACTTAACAAATAACAAATTTATGTTTTGAGTTGTTCGCATTTTATGTGAACAATAATATCATCATTTTTCAATAAGTTCATATTTTCGTTGGCGACTTCATCGTTAGTGAAAATAAGAGTATTGCAGAAATCCATGCATTATAACACATGGGGAGCTTCATGGTAAGTTTTCTGTCTTTCTGTTTCTAAATACGTTGTATCACTGACGAGTAATAGAAGTACAAAACAGCTGTATCTTACAATCATGGATAAAAAGATAAACATGAAATGTTTCACCTGTTTGTCGCCTGGATTTACACATACAAAACACAAATATTGATGAAAACCAAATTCAGTCATTTGGAACCATAGAAATCTCGCCCTGGCTCTTAAAATTCACCTGAAGTTGACTTCACTTCATGAAATTGTTAAATCAGACATCGACAGTTGTACCTTTCGTTCATTCGTCCCGAAATTGCAGTTAAAATATAAATCATTTCTACATTTAAATATACTGATGGTTCAAAGATAATGATAAGGTTGCCGCGGCCATGGTTACACAACATGAAACCTATGGAAGCCGGCTACCGAACATCGCCTCAATATTCTCGGCTGAAGCGCGAGCTATCTACCTCGCCCTTGAATATATCCAAACAAACTAAGTCATGAGAGCTGTTATCCATTCAGACTCTCTTTCTGTACTACAAAGTCTTATCAATAGAAATATCGAAAATATTTTCATTCGTAATACATTAATACCATATCATGAACTTGCCTTTAACTTTCGTATTGCTTTTTGCTGGGTTCCTGTGCACATGGGAATATCAGGCAATGAAAAATCAGATCGTGCCACAAAGGAAGCTTTATCGCTGCCACATTCAAACATCATTTTACTGATTTTAAACCATTTATTAAAACATTTTAAAAGCTCAGTGGCAGGAGGAATGGAATATATATATCAATAACAAATTGCACTCCGTTAAACCTGTTATCGTTGAATGGTCTCCAGGCTATAGAGACAACCACCGAGCCCAAGTTGTCCTTGCCCGTCTTTGGATAGGTCATACATACCTTACACATTTATATGTTGAAAAGCGAAGATAACCATTGGTGCATAGGATTTGATGAGCCATTCACCGCTAAACATTTTTTGTCGGACTGCATAGACCTTCTGTCTACTCGAGAGCGATTTTATCGTAACATTTCATGTCTTAAATCCCTTTTTGAAGCTGTCGAGATTTGTAAAATTCTACATTACCTAAAAGATGTTGGTCTGTATTATAGACTATGACGTACCATTTTAATCTTTTGTGTTAACATACCCATTGAAGATTTTTAATATTTGTCTTTTACCTTTTGGTTTGTTTAATGTTTTTTTTTTTTTTTGGGGGGGGGGGGGGGATCGCTGTGTTTTACCGTTTGATGGCCCTAATGACCTTTCATGTGTTGACGGGCCGTTAAGAATGTGTTGATAATAATTTATTAAAGACATTTTAACAGCTCAGTGGCAGGAGGAATAGAATGCATATACCAATAATAAATTGCACTCCGTAAAATCTATTAACGATGAATGGTCTCCATGCTATAGAGACAACCACCGCGACGAACTGGTCTTGCCCGTCATCGGATAGGTCATACATACCTATCCGTCAGGACGTCAGAATCTCCATCTTTATGTGTATGTATATCGCCCTCCGTTACCTCCGCTGTCTTTCCCTCATTACATTATCAAAGTGGATTTTCTTTTTCCTCCCATGCGAAAATATCATGCTTAATAATGGCGTTGATGACTTCCGTCGATTGATCACACTGCTGTTATCAATTATGATGTAAAAGTGCAAGATAATAGAACTAAACGTCGTCCATTATCATTGTATCACTGAATGATAGACATTGTTTATACTTTGACAAAAGTTACAAACTAAAGGAATCATATGTGTATTTTAAAGACAAAATTTATTTCAGCCACATGTTTTTCTTTTTTATTATGCAACAAAATACACAAAGAAATATCGTGAAAAAGGATTATTTATTTTCAACCATCTTGTAAAGGAACAAGAATATATATAGAAAGCAATATCTACCTCAACGAACAGTATAAAAGAAGTCCGCAGATTGGTTCGTTTCTCAGCTTCCTGAGAACAACAAACTGCAACGGATGGGCAATACCGTACAAAATGGCTTATAATATTGATAATTAACTACTTTGGCTCCATTTCATACTGCTAAAATGATAGGATTTCCAATTGATAAATTAAAGAAGTTATTACTAAATTAACGAATTAACATAAAAACACATTACAGAGCGTGTCAGGCCGGCATTCAACTCTTAATAATCTTAGGATTTCTTTATTTGAGCTTCATGTGTAAATCACCTGATTCAGAATATAAGTCTACTGACTAAGGTGATTGTTTCTACGACTTGTATCTGATATCTGTAGGTATTTGATGTTGATGTCATCATTACACTGTCTACACCAGTCTGACGTCACTGGTGTTATAAGAACTGTTTACAAACGTTACAGGCGCATGACGTGTACAGTACCGTCCCAACACCCGATCCACACGTTCCCAAACTTGTCCACACTCACAACTGTAGGTTCAACCACTCTATGTTTCTGGTCCATAAGACACTTGGCATGTTTCTTATCACTCGATAGCACGTACACCTGATTGTTTCTGTAATCTGGTATAAACATTCTGTCGTACTTGTCACATGACATCTTACACACTAACATATCATTAGCTTTTTTACCATTGTCCAGTTCACCAGTCCATCCGTGTTTGACCGTATATGACTCGTCAATTACGATTATTTCCCTACTTTCCCAATCACCTACCACAACACCCAGACGTCCTGACGACAAACACGTAACGTCTTGCGATTTATCCTTTCCACAGGAAAACTTCCTTACAATCGCACCTGATTGATTCAGTACCACTATGTCTGGTGTTGCGGTACTAACAAAGACCATGCCTGTCTTGTTGATGCTGATGTCCCACGCTTGATGTGGACTGATGTCGGCAAATGTTGTCACTTGTTTGTTGTGTAGTGATAGTTTATACACGAATGTACTACGTGTATTACTGGTCATAAGTACGTCGGTGGTCCCTATCATGGCGATTCTGTACGGACGAAAGTTCAGTTTCACTTCCTCTGTGACCACGCCATTCCTGTGGACCAGTACCAGACCTTTGTGTTCGTGTATTGATAACCACGCATGACTGCGGTCTACTGGACATATACCGAATATTATCTTTTGTTGAGTGATAGTAAACTTTGAGAGGCACTGAACGTGGTTACTGTTGATGTCGATCTTCTTGTACTGGTTCGGAAGGAGTAATTCACCAAACATTTTCATCAACAGATGGCGGTCAATACTTCCTGTAACAAAGATTGGGTTTTTTTGTAAAACATTCCCTACGTTCACATCATCCAGAGGCAGATATGACCTTAATGACCTTTCCAGATCAAACATGGATACACTTGATCTATAGGTCACTTGCGCCTTTTCAAGAAGACGCGTCAGCTCTTCAATCTTCTTCTCGAATTGTTGACAGACATTATTACACTGGGCGAACTGTTCTTTCTCCAAGGCCGATAACTCCGCCAGTGCTGTATCCGCGATATGATTTACTTCATCCTTCAGTTTCGTTCTCTGAGAGTTCACCTCTTTTCGCATTCCGTTTATATTTTCCAAAATACCTTTCTTAGCACTTTGTAACGTTATTGTCACGTTCACGAAATGTGTTATTTTCGCAGAAATTGTTGATATGTGTTCTTTTATCTGCTGCTTTTTTATTGTCAGTTCGTCTTCTAAATGTTTCCAATTGTGACGTTTATGCGTCTGTGAAAGACACATCAAACATACCAACATGTTACAATCACAACAATACATGTCACATGGTTTACCGGGATGTAGTTTACATACCTCCAGGACAGGTTTGGCATCCTGACGGTTAGCCTTCCCTATCATTACGACGTCATCGTTTTTAGTTTTCTTCCCTCGTGTATGGAGTTCTTTACATTCTTCACATAAAGCCTCCTGACAGTCATTACAGAACCAGTTCACATTGTCTTCACTGTCACAAAGAGAACATTTTTTGTTGACGGGTACCTGGGCCCGCCGCATGGATCTCGAACTGGCCATAATGACCGCTGATTCTTGTGATAATCACAGACAAGGAAGTGTCGTCATTTTATATCTTTGTGCAGGTACAACTGTAATTTTTCTTATTGACGCTTATTTCACGTGATCTGTCAGAGAGACCCATTGTGACTCTATTCCAGCTGATAAGGCAGTTTGCGTTCTTGGGCACTTTATCCAATAACATTCCTGTTGCACGCAATATCAATCTGGAGCTCAAAGTTGTTTTACATTTAATTTATGGCCTTTGAAATATAACCAATCTGCATCGTCATGTTTTACTGTACGTAGCACCTGTTGACCGTAGTCAAGGTGATAACGATAAAGAATGGTTTGTTCTGAGTCCTCCAATAGTTATGTAGGCAACATACAAAGTGTATACCTATAGAAATATTAAAACTACAGTAAAGATTTTAAACTCTGAACATGATGGTTTTGAAATTTTATGTAGCAATGAGGTTACTGCACAACACCAGCTCAGAGTATTAGAAAGTGACTATACGTATGTTGGATTTATTGTGGAAGAAAATCTAGCATATTGTAACCGGATATTAGAAAAATAACCAAGTCGTTGATTTTGTGAGATATTTTTCCCCTTACAGTTAACATCGATATCAATAGGGACACTCTGAAATGAACATGAACAATACAATTACATAGAGTAATGTTACAGGGAAGGGAGATTACACGCATATTTTTAAAAGTTACAGTAGCCATGAAATACAAACTATAAAAAGTACTATTAGATAAGATTTTGATGGACGCAGGCAAAGTAAATGCCTCTATATCCATATCTACATTATAGTTTTAGAATTGATCAGTATTTCAATTTAAACATAACTCCCTCATTATTCCAATTCTTGTGATCCCTACAACAATAATTAATTAATTCATCCTATTCCCGATTGTTAAATATTAATTGTCTGTAGCTCGACTATTTTCCGTTTCCGTGGAGGCCCACGGACCCGGTAAACAAAGTCTTCGGTTTCTTCGCTTTCTTTCTCGATGGCTTCTACTCTTAGTTCCTTCTCTCTTGTTCTCTGGACAACAGTAAGATCATTTCTGATTCGGATCTTAGAGAAATCAGGATGGCCTTTTAATTTTCTTTTACTCCTGGTTACCATTCCTTTAGAGCTACTTCCGGTTCTCTGTTTCTTCATATTTCTGACATTTCCCCGCGACAAGTAGACACAATCACATGATTACTTAAGAAGAGTCTATACTGATCAAGACTATATAAAATAGTCCTTAAATATACCGGTAGATCGGTATATAAATATACATAAATATACCGGTTGAACACACAGTGTTTCCGTATTTGACAAAAATGCATACAGACTGTTTTTGACTGAAAATTTAAAACCATTTTCACATGCCCAAATTTGTAGTCGAATCAAGCATTGTTGAAGTTGTCTTTCGATGATACTCATATGCTTAGATCGACAGCATATGATGAAGTCGTCGAAATAAAGAGCGCCCTCCATTGAAGGGGATAATGTTTTGACAATACTGTTAATTTTAAGCCCAAAAAGTGTAACCGAAAGAATGCTTCCTTGTGGTACACCCATTTCCTGCTAATGAACATCGGAAAGGGTCGTTCCAATCCGGACTTGAAATACTCTATCTGATAGAAAATTTGAAATAAAAATTGATAGATTACCTTTAATACCTATATCGTGCAGATCTTTTATTATGCCGTATTTTCATGTTTTGTCGTATGCCTTTTTCAAATCGAAGAAAACAGCAACCAAGCGTTCCTTCTTTAGAAAAGCCTCACGTACAAAGGTTTCAATTCTAACCAAATGATCGTTGGTACCTCGCTTAGATCTAAAACCGCTTTGTAAGGGTGATATTATGCGATTGGATTCCAGATACCAAATTTATCTTGAATTTATCATCCGCTCTAGAGTTTTACAAACACAACTTTTGAGTGATATTGTGCGGTAACTGGAGAGATATGTTGCATCTTTACCCTGTTTGGGGTTAGAAGATGTACATAGAACTAATCTGCTAATATTACGGATTGAAAATTAAACGGAAAGATCTAATTGTTTAACCAGTCATGTCGACGATGTGAACCATGTTATTTTAACCTTAGTCTCAGTACTGAAGGTTCCGTGTTTCAAGATACACTGGTAATGAAAATATCTAATATTGTGAGAACATTATGCAAATTGTGCACCTGATTTTCACCATCAGTAATATATAAGTACACCTATCAAATCATATAGACCAACAGTTTACTTTGCTTTTATCATCAAATGTTGATTCACCGTTAAAAGGTAATACTTTCAAGATATATATAACAAGAAAATACCGACATGTTAAAATAGTTTTACTTCCTCAAAACTGATACAATGACGGTAAAATTTCATCTAAAGAAACGTAAAAGTGAGCATCATAACCGAGTACAAAAATACTAAGACCAGGTCTCCACGTTTTAAATAATTAAAGACGAAACTGTAGGGTTTGAAGTTTAGGTCTATTGTATGTCATCTGAATGTTTTGTTTTAAAATTAACCAAATGGTTGATTTCTAAATTTTGACTTCCTCACACACTGGGTGACCTCATTGGTACATATTCAGGCAAATTTGTCAACATCATAATGATCAAAATTAAACTAAAGTCTTAATATCTTTAAATTATATACAATTCGTATGTTATACATCAAAACAAACTGGTTTATCGACGGTGAAGTAAAACATATTGAGAAGACGGGTCATACTTCAAATGCTATAAGTGTATCGCACCGGAGAGGTGCAGATTGATATTTCGTGCAACAGTAATGTAATTTATTGAAGTGCTTATCGACGTAAACTGCCTTATCAGCTGGATTGAAGTCACGTGGTTCTGTCTGACAGATAACGTGGAATTCCCATAAATCAGAAAACATTTAGCATTACCTACAAAAAGAAAGAAGGCGACATTTCAATGAATCATTACCAGGGGACATTATGGCAGGTTCGAAATCCATCTGGCGTGCCCAGGAACTCGTCACTTACCCGTGTTCTCTGTGCGACATTAAAGAAAATGTGAACTGGTTCTGTAATGACTGTCAGGAGGCTTTATGTGACCGATGTAAGGAATTACATACACGAGGGAAGAAAACTAAAAACGATGACGTCGTAACCATAGGGAAGGCTAACCGTCAGGATGCCAAACCAGTACCAGAGGCATGTAAACTACATCCCGGTAAACTATGTCACGGGTACTGTTGTGATTGTGACATGTTGGTGTGTTCGATATGTCTTTCACAAACACATAAACACCACGACTGGAAACATATGGAAGACGAATTTACATTGAAAAAACAACATTTGAAAGAACATATGACAACAATTTATGCGGAAATTACACATTTCAAGAACAAGAAGTCAACGCTACAAAGTGCTAAGAAAGAAAGTTTTGAAAATATAGACGGAATGCGAAAAGAAGCGAACTCTAAGAGGGCGAAGCTGGAGGATGAAGTAGATCATATCGCAGATACAACACTGGAGGAGTTGTCGGCCTTGGAGAAAGAACAGTTGGCCCAGTGTGATGAAGTCTGTCAACAATTCGAGAAGAAGATTGAAGAGCTGACGCGTCTTCTTGAAAAGGCGCAAGTGTCGAATACATCAAGTGTATCCATGTTTGATCTGGAAAGGTCGTTAAGGTCATATCTGCCTCTGGATGATGTGAACGTAGGGAAGATTTTACAAGAACATCCAAACTTTGTTACAGGAAGTATTGACCGCCATCTGTTGAGGAAAATGTTTGATGAATTACTCCTTCCGAACCAGTACAAGAAGATCGACATCAACAGTAACCACGTTCAGCGCCTCTCAAATTTTACTATTACTCAACAAACGACAATATTCGGTTTATGTCCTGTAGACGAAAATCATGCGTGGCTATCAATACACGAATACAAAGGTCTGGTACTGGTAAACAGGGATGGCGTGGTCACAGAGGAAGTGGATCTTTACTTCTGTCCGTGCAGAATCACCGCCATAGAAACAACCGACGTACTTATGACCAGTAATCCACGTAGTACATCAGTGTATAAACTATCACTACACAACAAACAAGTGACAACATTTGCCGACATCAGTCCACGTCAAGCTTGGGACATCAGCATCAACAAGACAGGCATGGTCTTTGTTAGTACCGAAACACCAGTCATAGTGGTACTAAATCAGACAGGTATAATCATAAGAAAGTTTTCCTGTGGGAAGGAAACACCACGATATATTTCCTGTTTGTCATCAGGACGTCTGAGTGTGATGGTGGGTGATCATGGGAGTGGAAATATAATCGTAACGTACGAGTTAGGTACAGCCATACATAGATGGTTTGGTGAACTGAACAACGGCGAAAAAACATGTGATATGACTCTACGTAAGCTGTCGCGTGACAGGTTCGACAGACTGTTTATACCAGACTACAGTAACAATCAGGTATATGTCCTACCGAATGATAAGAAACAGGCCAAGTGTCTTCTGGACCAGAAACATGAAGTGGTTGGACCTACAGTGGTGAGTGTGGATACGTTTGGACACGTGTGGATCGGGTGTTGGGACGGTACTGTGCACGTCATGCGACTGTAACATTTGTATATCTAACAGTTCTTATAACACCAGTGACGTCAGACTTGTGTAGACAGTGTAATGATGACATCAACATCAAATACCTACAGATATCAGATACAAGTCGTAGAAACAATCACCTTAGTCAGTAGACTTTTATTCTGAATCAGATGATTTACACATGACCCTGAAATAAAAAACACATAGGAGTATTAACAGTTGGAGTCCGGGCCTCGGACGTTTTGTGACGTGTGCTTGTTAATTCTTTTTCCGGTCCAGTGTTTCCTTTTTTTCTTGATCGATTTATATTATATGCCTACATTTGTTCTGGTCCGTCTTAATTGTTAGAATTGTGACGTCAAAACTATCATGACCTCATCACAATCGAGAGAAGTCATAGTTCCTAACTCGGTACAAATAGCCACGTAGTTAATGTTTAGTATAATATGCAATTTTATATAGTGTTACTCACCTGTTGTATTTTGTTGTTATCATGAAACTGAGAAACGGACCAATCTGCGGACTTCTTTTATACATATTTGATAAGGTATATGTTGCTTACTAAAATCTATATATCTTCTAGTTCCTATATAGATGGTTGAAAATAAATAATTCTCTATCGCATTAATTGTATGTGTATTTTTGTTTCATAAAAAAATTATGGCGTGAATGAAATTAATTTTGCCTTCAACGCCTTTATTAGGCATTACATTTCCAAACATTAATTATAAAATCACAAGGAAACGTAAAAAGGAAAATCCGGCTTTGATAATGTTAATATATACAAACACAGAAACACATATGGTGGACACAATTGGAAAAAGACGTATGGACGGACGTAAATACACCAATACACGCAAACGGAAAGATGAATAGACAAACATACATACACACAAAGATGGAGATAGCGACGGAGAGAAACGGACGTACTTTCATACGAACGAATGGACAGATGGATAAAGACCAAGAAAGACAGAAATGTATAGAGAGACAAAGACGGAAGAAATCTTAAGAAGAGTTGAATTTTGAGATCTACACATATTGAAAGTACAGACACACAGTCGGACAAATACAGACAGAGACCGATAGAGAAAGTAATGTGGAAATAAACAGAGAGTGTTTTTCTTTAACTAACTTACAAAAATGTCATTATTTTGGTTCTTACGGGACAAATAACTTGCCGGGTGTTGAATTGAAAACGAAGAAACAACAACAAATAAACTCCACAGTTTACCGATTACCCGGGCCAAGCTTACAAACCTAGCATTTCGTCAGAACGTATACCCGTGTACATCAGTACTACTGTAAGTCCAGAACAAGTAGGGGGCATTTTTTGAAACAGAGTTAAAACCTTAACCAACTGAATCAGTCAATGACAGACTGGGGGTGTACCTCATGCCCTACCTAGAGCCATACCTAAATTGAATCTGCAAATGACAGACTGGGATTGTGTCCCATGTCCTATTTAGAGCCATACCTAAATTGAATCTGCAAATGACAGACTGGGATTGTGTCCCATGTCCTACTTAGAACCATACCTAAATTGAGATTTGATAAAAGATAGTGCTCTCTCTTGGTTTGAATTTATAATTAGTAACAGATGACAGAAATCTGCACTCATTTAGGTCCATGAAAATGTATAGATTAAACATATTTCAATATATATGTGGCGGATTTAGACAATTGTAAAATGTCGGCGTTTCCCCAGGTGGTGGTTAGTTTCACTTCCGGTTGTTGACTTCTGCATTCAACAGCAAATGCGTATCTTTGAGTGACTTTATCTTTGATTTCTTCACCACACCTCAGATACGGGTGCGATCCCAGTCAGAGGGACTATTCTTTAACTTTTTTAATGTTAGTTCGGGTTTTCGTTAAATGTATCTCGCAAATTGTTTCCCTTTGTAACCAGGCAAAAATTTTCCGGAGAGAGAGAGAGAGAGAGAGAGAGAGAGAGAGAGAGAGAGAGAGCTCAGTATTATATTAGGGGTAAGCCCCGGAAGTATCCTCAACTTGTTTTATATTCTAACAGTTCTTAAGCAAGCTGACAAATCAGCAAGTATTGATACAACATTCTGGGTCACGTTCAAAGAGGGGCCATGATATGGGGGATTTAAAATCAATTCAATGTGAAATGTATTTACTAAATAAATAGGCCGTGACTGAGGGATTCAAAAGTTAAAATCATAAACAGTGTTAAATGTACTTAACACGGAATACAATTTGATACACTTATATGGTGTTTGATTAAAATCATATGTGAGCTACCCCGGACATTATCGATTATCCCTGATGGGCCCATTTAAAGGGTAATTCCTTTTCTCCGTCCCGACAGGACTCGTCATTTTAAAGCTAGTATTGCCAGACAAAACATATTGATTATGGTGGAAAATCTCGTAAATCCAAGGTTCTGTTTAGATCTGGAGGAAAGTAATCGAAATGGTGTAACAACTTCAGGAGTAGAAACGCTTTAGTTATAAATTATGATCGCAACGCTGTCTATATCACGGAAAGATTCACGTTAATGGATTTTACCCGGGATAGACACATATTCCTCAGGTTAGTATACAGTAAAGGTTTTCTCACGGAGTTTGTTTACAAATGGCTACCGACATACCTGGTCAAGGTGATTATTTCTGTTATGGTCAGTTACTTGTATGGTCAGTTAATAACTGTTTATAATTGGTTGATGCAATTGATAAATATTTAGCGTGGTCAGTTTACGCTATTTTTAATGTCTGCTCTGCACAGGTGGTCAGTTAAGTTGTTGGGGATATAACGTATATTATGGGACCAACACTGTATACAGTATCATATTATAGATTTACATTCTGAAACTGGTAACATTCTCTCGTCTCCAGCCGTATGCTGTGCGTGGCTGGGACTAAAGTCATTCTTCTGAATATAATTCATGCCCAGCAGCTCAATCACCAAGGTTCTTTTGCTTTATTCTAACTTAGATTTTACTTTTTTCATCCAACACTATCATTAGGGGGATTAAAAAACCTACCCCATGACGTGTATTAATTTGATGAACATTGTTTTTAACTGAAATCCTTCTCGTTCCAAACCCCGGGACACCCCTACCCCTACCGCCATTATTACTCCCCACTCCGAACCCCGGGCCACCCCTACCCCTACCGCCATTATTACTCCCCACTCCGAACCCCGGGCCACCCCTACCCCTACCGCCATTATTACTCCCCACTCCGAACCTCGGGCCACCCCTACCCCTACCGCCATTATTACTCCCCACTCCGAACCCCGGGCCACCCCTACCCCTACCGCCATTATTACTCCCCACTCCGAACCCCGGGTCACGCCAACCCCTTCCGCCAACATTAATCCCCACCCCGAACACCAGGTCACCCCAACCTCTACCGCCATAACTACTCCCCACACCGAACCCCACCTTTATCGCCTTCCCTTCTTCCTCCTTACATAAAGACTACGTTTAAAGACAATATCACATTTGTCTACGCTTTTGTGATATAAATAGATATTACAGTTAAACCATTTTGGAGAAGAGATCGATCGCGGAATGGATTTCGCTCTATTTCAATGAGATATGTACATTGATATACCGCAGTAACACACCATTAAATTAACATAGATCTGTAGAAAACTGAACATAAGCAGCGAAAATCATCGTTTATCAAATAAGACCAAGATTTAACGTGTCTGCAAAGTCATTTATGGATAATTTTTAAAACCCTGTCCTACTTTTGTTATTTTGTTAATAACAGGTCACGTGATATATATAACAGACACCGACTATTCACTTATTTTCATACCTTTAAACTCTCTATGATATAGGAGTGTATACATAGTACAATACGAACAGCTATATGTCATAGGTGTTAGTGTAATAACTTTAGCTGTATAATGTAAACAGTCTGGCGATCGTCATTATTGAATCGTTTAGGTAACCACAGACTCGGTGTTATTGATTTCTCTGTGTAGATCATGTAGATATTGTCAGTTATCGCCCCTGTTCTGTTATAGATGATAAATAGAGAATAGGTGGCGCTCGTTTCACTTTTCAATCATAGATTATTCACTGTAATCGATGAATCCAATTATTCCAAAGAACCAAGGAGAATATTTCCATGAGTCGAACTCCCTATCCTGATTTCGGGAGCACGTGATCATGTTCTACATGTTACGAGATCCTGCATCAACCCTGTATGAATCCTGATATCGGTGCAAAAATACAGTAAAAATATACTGCTGTATCTCACAGTACGTCTTAAGAGACATCCACCTGAGAGACCTCTGCAGGATCGGAGATTGTTTTCCTTTGTCCATACTGAGAAAAATATATGGTACCTACATCCCAACTCTTGATTTCATGTTTTCCTTTCTCTCCGGTTTATTCGACCTTACTGGGTGTTTTACTCTGTTTGTGTCTCCCATCATCCGTCCTCATACGACCCTGGCTTTTCGTGTCTCCATAGACACCCGTCCTCATAAGACTCCGGCTGTACGTGTCTCAATAGACACCCGTCCTCATAAGACTCCGGCTGTACGTGTTTCCGTAGACACCCGTCCTCATAAGACTCCGGCTGTACGTGTTTCCGTAGACACCCGTCCTCATAAGACTCCAGTTGTACGTGTCTCCATAGACACCCGTCCTCATAAGACTCCGGCTGTACGTGTCTCCATAGACACCCGTCCTCATAAGACTCTGGCTGTACGTGTCTCCATAGACACCCGTCCTCATAAGACTCCGGCTGTACGTGTCTCCATAGACACCCGTCCTCATAAGACTCCGGCTGTACGTGTCTCCGTAGACACCCGTCCTCATAAGACTCCGGCTGTACGTGTCTCCATAGACACCCGTCCTCATAAGACTCCGGCTCTACGTGTCTCCATAGACACCCGTCCTCATAAGACTCCGGCTGTACGTGTTTCCGTAGACACCCGTCCTCATAAAACTCCGGCTGTACGTGTCTCCTTAGACACCCGTCCTCATAAGACTCCGGCTGTACGTGTTTCCGTAAACATATGTACAGTAAACCGATGAATTTTATGTAATTTTTAATTACTATATATGCCACAGTTGTGGTTCCTAAAGCCGCAATGCACTCTGGGAATATTGATATTCTCACTGCAAATTCTGTTATCAGATTGGTTAAAAATTAGTTACAAATATTAAACTCACTTCACTGTGAACATGTATTTTACTGCGAAAATGGTATAATAATCATGGACATTCCTACCGTGATAATAAAGTTTAAAAGATAAACAAATACCATTCCTCATTCTGAGGGATAAAATGGCGTTCTTATTTATCTATGCTATTAATTCATAATCAATAATTTATCATTTTATTATCTTTTTTTTCAGGATTTTTAGAAAGCGAGACAGGGATGAGCATAATGTCTAGGTTTGAAAATAATCACGATATTATAATTCCATGAATGTAACAAATGATTTGAACAGATACCATGACAAAGGCAGTTGTGTCTCAATGGAGGATATCAGATATACAGTGTCACGGACATCCTTATTTTTTACAACATCGTCTGTTGTCTGTTCTTTGGAAGGAACGAAGCTATGACGTCATCAATTTCAATCCTCTACGTGTACATTAATAATGTGATAATGAAAGTCTTCCTCTCTCTACCACAGTCGTCATAGTCACCAAGATGTTTCCGTAATGTGTATTTACATATCCGTTCGGAAGTTAACATTACAAACATTTATACTTTCGGAACACCCATCAATGAAAGTAATGTAGAAGAACAATTAAAAAAAACATTATTATAAAACTGTCGACCATTCAAAATGGACAAGAACGACCTATTCCGAGCAGCACAAACAAATGACATCAAACTGTACATAAGATGTATCACAGAAGGCATCAACCCGCGGACTTCCGGCGAGAGAGGAGAAACCATCATGCACTATATTTCAATGAAAAACAGTTACGGACTACTGTGTCACATTGCGACAACTAACCCGGATTTGATCCAAGAGCTTGTAAACATGGCCGACAATGATCGAGACTCGCCATTGCATTGGTGCTGCTTTAGGTAAGTAGTGTTTGAAAAGACACGCAATATACACAGGGGACACGGTGCATATTCTTTTCTCTTATGTAAGCACGTAATTTAAGTGGTAAAATATTTCCCCAGAACGAGTGAACATAATAACTATAGTGTATACATATATCTGTTTCTTTAATGTGCGCACGTGATGGGAAAAACACTTCTCACTTCTTTAATTACGTGCACTCGTAAAAGGAATTTATATATATATGATGTTCCCTCTGCACCTCCGTAGTACAGAAAACACTTTCGATATCTATAATTAGATACAGTAAAGCTAAATAATGAATTAAGTTGTGTCATACAATTGGTTCGTCCTTCTAGGACTCTTCAGAGATGTTAGGGGCCAAAAAATAAAATCAAACCACGGTGGTTACTTGGTAGAAATTTTTTTAAATCTAGATGGGGTTGTGCACTAGCTCCGTAGTTTTGAAAAATCACAATTTTCATAAATGTTATAATTTCAGAAGATTATAAGATAATTAAAATATACAAAACTAATTATAAAATTGTAAAATATTTTTATTAAATACCTGTGTATATATAAGGCTACAGATTGTTTGCCAAATAGCAGGATATGAAGATACATTATAATTCTTTATAATAACTCATTATATACTACAAAGCAATTTCTTAATGTCTGTAATGCATATACGATAATTACATACATAAATCACTCCGAGGATAGGTAATGGTTTTCAGTTTATTTATTTCATTCATTCTATAGAATATTGATAATTTTCGCTTTCCCATCACCTAACGCTATCGACGACATAACAATAATACCAAAACCATTTAACATTCATTTTTCCGCGAGTGGTTTCTTCCACATCGCCATCCTGATCTTTGTTAAACATTCCTTTCCGGACTAAATATTTTATCTAATCTCTACAGCTCATCGCCCTCGTTACGTATCTATGAGAAGCTGTTGACCCTGGATGCGGACCCTCTCCAACGGGACCAGTGGGGCCAGTCCTGTCTAGAACTGGCCGTCGTAAGGGGGCGCACCGACTTGGTGACGTTCATGAGATGGCGAGAGGCACACCCGCAAGGTAAATGTAACTACCTCATCCGTGTTTGTTTTTGTCTTTTTAGCACGGGATGAGGGGGGCGTATATCAACACCTGATAAGACTTATAAATAGTATATATATATATATATATATATAAAGGCAAGTGGTTATATAAAAAAAGCACATGTCCCTGACCTTTTCCGCCAACAACCATTACTTCGTTTCGAAGATTTCTGGAAAATATGGCAAGTGATAAAGATATATAAAAACCATTTCCTAATTCATCTGCAAGAATTAGTACTTGACGAGAATATGTCGACGACTGGTATATATCTACTGTGTACCTGTAAAACCATTATATTCCCTAGGTCTACCCCAGGACATACAGGCACTGGACAACATCTCTATACTTCAGTATATCAACACGTTTGGTAGTATGAACAGCAGCCACGCCCTCCTTTATGAGATGGCCATGAAAGGAAAGAAAGAGAAATCTTCCCACATCCGTATCATCTTCCTTGGTTACCAGGGTGTGGGGAAGACAACTCTGTACTACAGACTGACGGGACAGAAACGACATGTGAGTACAGATCTATTACAGGCAATACAAGTAACAAAAGCTAGAGTATCGGGGCCCTGCTCCACTCTGAGGAGCAGATATAGGATAAGGGCACCTAAACACACACGTTTTTGTATGTAAACAGAAAACTATAAAAACAACGGTACCTTCACTGTCCTTTTCCTTCCGGCAGGTGCATTCTACAGACACGCTCGAGATTGTCCAGAACAGGCTAATAATAGACCGTGTCACAATGAAGAGAAAATTATTGGAGGAGGGTCAAGAATTGGAAACGAGTCTCGAGAGAATCAGGGATGTCGTAATAGGATCCATGACAACAGATGACGTCACTGAAGACGTGGTGGACGGAAAACCAGGTGAAACAGATTAAATTATTTTTTCCTACAAGTATATTTGGTAGATGTTTGCCTTAACTTGTGTACTAGGTTTTAATTAATTCGAATACGGTTCAGAACATAAACGCGAACTTGACGATCTGTATAAATATCACTAAGATATGAGACTAGTACAGCCCATCTAGATTTGGATTTTTATTCGTGAACTATTTGATTTTCGTCTCACTCTAGATTTAACCTTTAGGTCCTTAGCATCACTGACGAGTCCTTGAAGGACGAAACAGCTGTATGATGTAGTTTTAGTCATTATTCGTCTCTCCTGTATGTAATTCGAAACTTGTATTGTAATGTGATGTCCTCTTTTGGTTCTTTCCTATTATCTATCATATATTGATTGTTGGGTTTATCATCCATCGGTCAGTATGGCAAAATATCAATTATCTTTACATTTTTGGTGTATTTTGTCCCTTCCTGACAGATATTAAGCGTCCTGTGTCGGCCCGTATGGACAACCAACTACGTCCACCCCCTACCACCATAAAAAGAACTCGCTCTGAACCAGACGCCCTGGCTGATCTTCAGGCCGAGGCGGCTGTCTTGATGTCTAAACGTCCGGTGGAGAGATTCGGATCACGCGGACAAAAGACATTCGTCAGTGTGTTTGACTTTGGTGGAGAATCTATGTTTAGTAACTTACAGCATATCTTCCTGAATTGTAACGCTGTCATACTTCTGATGTTTAGTCTTCACAACTGTTTTGAGGAGAAGGCAATACTGGGTAAGGACTTATCCTTGTATAAAGGTTATTTAATCTGGAGGTATATACACAATTGCTTTCTGACATTGATGTCGACCAACTTTGGAAGACAACACCCTCCTTGTTGTTCATGATTTCGGCCCTTTATATCACGGACGAGTCCAACAAACACGAATTTATATCATTGTAAAAAACAGGGAAAATACACATTCCTGTTGATTGCCCCGACTAGGACTCGAACCTGGGTCTCTGGCGTGGTAATCAACTGGCTCTACCAATTGAGACAAACAACATGCTTCGTCTGCTGTGTGACAGAGACCATATTTAACACTATATACGGGTCACACCGACCCGTCAGATGAGTGACAGAGACAGTATTAACACTATATATAGGTCACACAGACCCGTCAGATGAGTGACATAGACCGTATTTAACACTATATACAGGTCACACCGACCCGTTAGATGAGTGACAGAGACCTTATTTAACACTATATACAGGTCACACCGACCCGTTAGATGAGTGACAGGGCCGTATTTAACACTATATATAGGTCACACCGACCCGTCAGATGAGTGACAGGGCCATATTTAACCAGAAATACACCGTCTCTGGACGGGAAAGATAAAAAACAAACACCCAGTATAGACAGAAATACACCGTCTTTGAATCGGAAATATCAATAACCATCTCTCAGTACAGACAGAAATACACCCTCTCTGGAACGGGAGGACAAGAACAAACATCGACACACATAATCCTCTCTAGGATGGAGGCCCATATACGGTATCGGCAGAATTAGCCCCGCTTGATTTTCTGCTTTTACGATGATGATAAGGGGAGGTTAATTTAAGATAAGGGCTAGAATTTGTTACACATACATTTAATGTAATCACTTTATAAATCCCCAAAAGGACGAAATGAACATGAGGCGAATTCGTGTATAATGCTACTAGAGCGGAAAATTCCTATATACAGTAAAAAAAATGAAGGAACGAAATATATGTTTTTATCAAAGTGTAAAAGAATGGTGATTTAACGGGTTTTTTTTTTTTGAATTTACAGTTTTCTATGGTCTTATCACTTCTACACTCGTGAAATCGTTTTGAGGCAAGCAAAAAGTATGGCGGCCATCTTGCATACTGAGGCATATGATTGACTCTTACAAAAGATAAATTCGTGATAACGACGTTCTAAAATTTCAGGGCAAGTCAGAGATAAATATGCTAACGATTACATTCTGACTGATATTCATCCTCTTCCCATTCTAGTAGGTTTTTGTCGGTAGTTTTCCAAAGGTCAAGATCAATGACAGGTCAAAATTTCAATCAAGCGGAAAACTATTGTAATGTCGTAATTAAAAAAAATATGTCACGTGAGTAAGACATTTTAAAATTCAATACCTACTAACAAACACATCCTTTATTAATTTTATGTGTTTTGATGTACTTATGTGAAACAATGTGTCTCACTTCCAAAATGACGGGCCTAATGTCACGTGATTCTGAACATGACACACATTTAAAAAGATAATTGACTCTGTTTCAGAAATAGATTGATTACCATATGATAAGTTAGAGATACTAAAAAACTAAGTTAAAATTTAAAAATACAAACAAGCAGCTTAGTTAATCTGGATTAAAATGCCAACATTAAACTGATGAGATACAGGACAGAGCACACACCTGATATATAATATACAACACATATTATGATGTGATAGGAGCAAATTGTTGTGACCTGTATATAGTGTTAAATAGGTCACTGTCACTTATCTGACGGGTCGGTGTGACCTGTAAACAGTGTTACATACGGTCTCTGTCACTCATCTAACGGGTCGGTGTGACCTGTATACAGTGTTACATACGGTCTCTGTCACTCATCTAACGGGTCGGTGTGACCTGTATACAGTGTTACATACGGTCTCTGTCACTCATCTAACGGGTCGGTGTGACTTGTATATAGTGTTATATTGAGTGTTTGGTTTTTTTATCTTTTCCTTTCAGAGATGGTGTATTTCTGTCTATACTGAGTGTTTGTTTTTTATCTTTCCCTTCTAGAGAGGGTGTTTTCTAACTGTAATGAGTGTTTGTTTTTTATCTTTTCCTTTCAGAGATGGTGTATTTCAATCTATACTGAGTGTTTGTTTTTTATCTTTCCCTTCTAGAGATGGTGTATTTCTGTCTATACTGAGTGTTTGTTTTTTATCTTTCCCTTCTAGAGAGGGTGTATTTCTGGTTAAAATTTATCGCCACCTACTCGTGTCACATGACAGAAATTTACCGCCCTCCAATAATACTGGTAGGGACCCACCTGGATCTCATCAACAAGGTAATGATCACGTGTTCATGAAAATTGAATCTTCATCTCTTATCATAACTACTAAATATTTATTTTTTTATTTGTTGTTGATCTTCATAATCTGTAACCTAATTTTGGTGATAATTTGACATAGTGGTTCTAATCAGAGTAACTCAAAAACACAAAAACGAATTTCATGACAAAACCTGGTACAAAGATAGCAGAACTGAAATTGAAAGTTAATACAATAGATAGTAAATACAATGCTGTTTATTAGTAGTATGACTGTTTGAGTGGACAACATTATGTGTTATTGAATTAAGTTAACTACCAAATTAAGGATATTAGGACTTTCAATTTTCAGAGGAAACTTTAAGATAACTGATAATAGGAATTTGAGTAGGTGTATATCAGAATCACAGCTTTCACAAAAATATTCTCGAAAAAAACTTTCGATTATTTTAATAATCTTATCGGCAAAACATTCAATAGATTTTATCAAATTAAAAAAATAGTTTTTAGTCAAATTGATATATTTTAAAGCATCAGTTGGTTAAAAACTTGACATGCATTTAATAATACATTCTTCCTACTACAGGAAAATGATAAAGATTCAGTGATCAGCAAAGTCAATCAGGCTTTATTGAACAACCCCGAGATAACACAGATCTATAAGAAACACGTGTTCAAATTCCTAACAGTGGATAATACTGTTGAAAACGGTGACAGCTATGAGATTCTGTGGGGTTACATAACGGAAGCTGCGCAGTACCAGTCTCACTGGGGTCAACTACTTCCGGGAAATTGGATCGCACTAGAACGGGAGATAATGCGGCTGAAAGTTAGAAGGAAAGTGATGACTTTTGAGGAAATCCGGATTATTGGAGAAAGTCTCACTGTGCCACTCGACGACGGAGAAGTGAAGGCTATGCTGGAGTATGTATAAATTTTGCTTTAGATTGTTTCTGTGTTTATTTTGAGTCTCCTTGTAGTAGTGTTAGGCTACGTCGCTGAAACAAATACGGGAGGCTCGTAGTAATCCAGAGCAGATTGGGAAAAGTATTGTGATTTTCCAAGGACACGACAATAAAGACCAGTGTTTCGGCTTCATAAAATACATAAACCGCCACGTGTGGGGACCGTTAGATAACCCACTCCTCTTAGATCAACATTTTACCGTCATAGTGACTTCCATTTTGATAACAGTTGTGATAATATCTGGCTCCACCCAGTATAGTGTTAACGTGTAGCAGTTTTAATAGATATGAAGCTGGCCTTGTTGTATGGTTGTCAGTTGGATTTATAATTGTAAACCTTGTTCTCATGTGAGAACGTGACATTATTTACACAGACTGACAAAGTTTTACATGACAGGTGTCGTCGATAAAACAAGAGACGCTTACTCTTCCGGAACACCTGTTCATTATATCCTTGATCGTTCTCAAGTATCTTACTTAACTCTTTCTCCTGTTTGACTTTAAATTACCTCGGGTCGCGTTTTTTTATACAATATTGATCTTGACGATTTTATCAATTTTTGCATCATTTTACTCCACAATTCAAGTATAATTATTCCATAATCTATGTAAGCAGGGAACAAGTAAAATACTCTGTTTTTCAACTTATTGAGAAACCCCAATGATACACCATCACATTCGATTTATCTTTTAATACACGGTTCAGTGATTTTGTTTTGTTTAGCTCCTTGCACATCGGCGTAAACAAAGGGAAGCGTCTTAACGTCATCTACCTCCTCTCTGTAACACTGTACGAAACATTTACGCTTCGTTGGCTTCCGAGTGATTACAGTGTTATAATACAGAGCGTTATACAAAATGTATTTAGTCATCTGAGCTATGACTCTGCTAGGAATATACATACATTTCACCTGCTTGACACTATTATAAAAATTCCAGTGTTGAAATATCATCTAAACTATATGTTTAGTGTAAATACCCATCGAGATTCTGACTTGGGTTAACACTGGTTTGTCATTTCTTTACAGTTTCATTTCTGCAGTCCCCTACCGTCAGTGACGAATTCGGTAATGACAAACATATTCCGTGTTGCAGTTTCATTTATTGAGTGGCAATTGCATATATTTGGTTAGTGTACATCCAGATCGAGATGTTGGCTTTAATGTTCAACATGTTTGATGAAACAAATATGTTATTCACGTTTGTGTTTTCTATATAAAGGTTTTATAACTGATACTACTTGTAGGTATCTTCATATGATGCGAAGTATTCTCTGTTTCAACATGGATCTTCCTAACGCCAAACTTATCCTGGATCCACAGTGGATGGTGCAAGCCTTCCGAAAGATTGTTACTGTAGACAAATTCTTCGACAAGGTCCACGGCAAGAACCATCCACTGCTAAAGGCATACCAACAAACAGGCAAACTTACTGTGGAATTCATTGAATATGTGTGGAAGTCTGACCTTGACTTTTTAGAGTTCAGAGGAACTCTTTTGTACTATCTGGAGCGCCTGGAGTTGTTGGTCAAGCCACTACCGGAGAAAGGTGAATCTGTTGTCAACTACTACATCGTCCCTTGTATGCTTCAGCCTGCGGACTTGGAGGTGATGCGAACTTTGATCGAAGCACCGGAAACAGTGAGAACGGCGACATTGGTGTTTGACTTTCAGGGTCGATTTCTGCCCCCCGCTGTGTTCAACAAGATTCTCGCTTCGTGCATCCACAGGTTCAAAGTGATGCACGCGCCGGATGGGTATTTGTACCTGCAGCAAGGCCTGGCATGCTTTGAGCTAAATCCACGCTGGAATATGGTGCTTCATTGTAAGGATTCATATATGAAGGTAACACTGTTTTCCCTGTCACGTAATAACCCTGAGTTTGAAATCGAGGCTGTGCCAGGGGAGGGTTATTCCGTACGTCAGATCCTGGAGGAGATTGTACAAGCGACATTAGACAGAAACCAACAGGATCATATAGTGTACAAGTTCTACCTTCACAATCACTTCCATATATACCCTGGTCAGAAGCTTTACGACATCAATGACGTCATGAACACACCTGTATTCTCTGATGGTAACTATGATGAAGTAGATGCGTCCTTACCGTCCATCAGCAGACTGGATTACGAAGTCTGGTTTCTGTCTCCTGTACAGGTAAAGTTACCCCTAGTCTACTTCAGTGTTTCCTTGTTGGTATGAAGGAAATTGTCGTGCAATACAGAATATTGCTTCGCCCCTCATGACATTAACTATATATACCTCGTATCCACTTACTTATCTATATGTGTGTGTGTGTGTGTGTGTGTGTGTGTGTGTGTGTGTGTGTGTGTGTGTGTGTGCGTGCGTGCGTGCGTGCGTGCATGTGACAGCACTAACTTTTTTTATTTCACTCAATAATTTTATGTCGGTTTTTCAAAACACAGATTACGTGTTGTCTTTAGGAATTATTCTATGCTGTTTCAAATGAAAGAGAGTAATTTTCTCAAAAAAATGTTTTTATACTAAGATATCAAAGTATGTTCTGACAATCTGCCATTTTAATGTAAAATTGGATATTTTGTTGTATATCGTAGACTTATTTGATGATAACTTGTGCTTTTCTTTCAGACACCAAGGAAAGAAAAACGAGGTAATGATACTATGTATTTAACGTGGTTCGTAATCAGACTTGTGTTGACATGGTTTTTATAAATCTGCCAATTACAAAATAACTTTTTACGTTAATAGATGTTTAATGTAGTTATGTCGCCGAAATCTACCTGATATAATTAGTAATATTGACACACTTGACCGATGTTGACCGATCTCTCAGGTGAGTCATTTCTATATTTCAATTCTTCCTCGTTTTTTTTAAGTCTCTTACAAGTAAAATAGTATATTTTTTAATTATAACTATCCTTTTATTAGAAAGAATCGTAAGACTTTTTTTTCTTTCTCTGGCTAACATTTGTTCAATCCTTTATTAATTATATTACAAATGTTGTTCACCTTTTTTCGAATTTGAATATTTTTATCACATTGGTTTTAGATGCACAGCAGGACAGAAAGCTTGACCGGTGTCTGACCCCACGTGAGATGAGTCGTATCGCCAAGTTCATAGGGACGTGCTACAGCATCTTCTTCACAGTGCTTGGTCTCGATGACAACACCATCGACCACATCCGGTTACAATATGGCCACTTCCACTTCCGGTCTCAAGTTACTAAGATGTTAATTGTTTGGAGGTAATTGTGTAGATAACATGTTATCCATGTAGGTTTATAGTAGAATTGTAGAATTCCTATGGTCAATAAATGCGACACCAAGCCAAGGAGAAACACAGATTTCTCCGTAAACTGTCAAATTAAGGAATTATCATCAACAATATATATATAAAGCTGGACCATGAAAGGCATACTGAACTATCAGAGATTTGAATGTAGTGTACCTCTCTCAGATGGTCATGCAACAACAATCATCGATATTGTTACCTGTTTACGTCAGATATAGAAAGACACAATCGACGGGTCAGACCAAATACCTGGTTGTCCGAGGTCAGATAACAACAATATTCGAGTATAAATCCTTGATATATATTGAGCCGGATTCTTACTCAACTTGTACTCATGTTAGCAGTGGTGTCGGCATGGTATCAGAGTTTTGATAAGAACGAGGCACAAGGCAGTAGACACAATGGTAACTTTTAAATGAAATTCAGTAAATATTTACAAACTTTCTCATTATGTTTGGAAAATGATTTACGATAAGTATTGTCCCGATCGTTATTTTCATCTAAGCTTTGGTCAGATGGTTAATTTTACCTACGTGTTGGTCTGATGGTTAATTTTACCTACGTGTTGGTCTGATGGTTAATTTTACCTAAGTGTTGGTCTGATGGTTAATTTTACCTGAGTGTTGGTACAATGGTTAATTTTACCTAAGTGTTGGTCTGATGGTTAATTTTACCTACGTGTTGGTCTGATGGTTAATTTTAACTAAGTGTTGGTACAATAGTTAATTTTACCTAAGTGTTGGTCTGATGGTTAATTTTACCTACGTGTTGGTCTGATGGTTAATTTTAACTAAGTGTTGGTACAATAGTTAATTTTACCTAAGTGTTGGTCTGATGGTTAATTTTACCTACGTGTTGGTCTGATGGTTAATTTTAACTAAGTGTTGGTACAATAGTTAATTTTACCTAAGTGTTGGTCTGATGGTTAATTTTACCTAAGTGTTGGTATAATGGTTAATTTTACCTTAGTGTTGGTCTGATGGTTAATTTTACCTACGTGTTGGTCTGATGGTTAATTTTAACTAAGTGTTGGTACAATAGTTAATTTTACCTAAGTGTTGGTCTGATGGTTAATTTTAACTAAGTGTTGGTACAATAGTTAATTTTACCTAAGTGTTGGTCTAATGGTTAAGTGTAGGTTCGATCAATGTAAGTTTTACCTCTATAGTATGTAACTGTTGTCCACAGGAACAAGAAGAAGAATAAAGCTACACTCCTGGAGGTCGTCAAGGCCATGGAATTTAACGAACTGTGTGTAGACGATATGTTTAGTGAAATCCAGTCAGACTCCTTCCTCATACAGACTGCCGCCAAAATGACGTACCTTGACGGTAAATCACGTGATATAAAAATTCTGATTCGTTTAAGGACAAATTCACATATTATTTTATTTATAACAAGTATATTCCATGATTTCTGATTTTCATTCCATTTTCCTAATTTTACATTTATTTACATTTAGATGTCTAACTGCAAAAAGAAATAATAGTAATTTCGAGCATACGCATAGAAGTTTATACATCATATGAAGATAATATATAGATATAATCACAAACAAGGCTAGACAGAATACTGATCTCAATGTCTCAAACCAGGACGGGGCGACATATAAAAGCATGATATTCCATTTCCTTTTGTACGTCTCTCTACCAATCGATTTCTTTCATATTTCATTTGCTTTAATCCATTCTATTGATTCCCGAGCCCCTAAACTACAGCTTTATAACTTTATTCTTTACAGATATTGACATTTCGCTGAAAGTTCAAAGGTCATGCCCCTCTACCCGAGATACGTGGACATTCGCAGAATGTATGGGGAACATGTATTTTAACGCGATGATTGAACTTGGTTTAAAAAACCAGTGTATAGAGAGGGCGGAAATGGACCACCGTAATCAGGTTTTGTATGTTATACACGCCCTTCTCACTGAATGGGTCAAGAGTCAAGGTTCAGAGGCCACCATCCTCAAACTCTACCTCGCTCTGGAAGAATGCAATGGCGATTGCCTTGAATTTGCAGGTGAGTTTTACATCATACATGAAGTCATATAATTAAGCCAGGAAATCAAAGTCGATATTTCTATTTAAAACCAAATGTACGAGGATATGACGTAGAATCTGGAGATAATTATGTAAATTTTCAGAGAGTCACATATCAGTAACAAAGGTCACGTGAGGTAACTATTTCATTCAAGATGAATGCGTTAAATATCTGCTATTTAACAGATATAAATTACCGGATGTAACTTATAAGTTATAAATTGTGTCGAACTGAAGATTCATATTCATATTTGTTAACCAATCTTTCCTGCCTACTAATTTTCAAGGCTTCCATCTTATAGCATGTTCACACAGTGACTTACATTCGTGAGACAGATTTTGCAATGAGTCACTCTAGTCACCAGTAATATTCCTGTATTAATTGGAAGCGATTGATTTTGCAAAATTATGTCAGTTTTGAAATTCGCGAAAAGAAATAGCAAGCGAGGGAAAGTTAGTTTACAGCATGACAGAAATATCGCGAGACGTTTCGTGGTAACCATGGTGACGTATATGACAATTACATATGTCTTAAATTGGTAATTTTATCATATGTTGATATATGATAAAAGTCTATTTATTATTAAGTATCCTTGTTCTCTTTCCCAGACGGCATTAACCACAACAGAAGCCTTGTCGCCGGAATGGATGTTCCTAATGAAATACTGATAACCTCTTGACGTCACAAAGCACAGGTCAATTACTAGGTTCTGACCCGGAACCGAAAAAGGGGGAGATTTTTATTCAAAATTGACGCCAATGTTTGTGAATTGTTTACGCCATGGTGAGGTCGGTATTACCATGTAACTAGGTAGAGTTGGACATTAGGTAACCGAGGTTAAACATCTAAACCTGGTCGCGGAGAAGTTCAACAGACCATATCAGGAGTTATATGGCGGTAGGCAGAAAAGACAGCTGATGTCTATTATCAACGTGTCCAAGTGTTTATAGGAGCTTGTGCTCTATTGTAACACGAGATTGTGTCTAGATTTGCAGGAACATGCTAAGATTCTTGGTGACATTGAATGATTTGCAGGAACATGCAAAGATTCTTGGTGACATTGAATGAATATTATAGACATTGGATGTTTTGGTGTACAGGAGGTAACACCGCTCCGTAGCGTTTATTCTATGTCGAAAAGTGCCTTGTATCTGATATAAACATCACAACTTTTGTATTGTGATCAACAACAATTTCAAGATATTGGTAATTACTGAAGCAACGACTGCTTCTCAAACAAAATTAATCAAAATTACAAGCAAGTTAGATAATATAAGTAGATTATAGAGATACATGTCCTGTTGATCATACTTACACAAAATATTCACTTTCTTGTTAAGGTGATATATTGTTTATGTTTCATGACTAAAATGACACGCAGCTAATTTGGGTTACTTGAAGCCTTAAACCAATTCCGCTTTCTTAAAAGGTAGTGTGTGGCTTAATATCGGCGTGAAATTGTTTCATTTCTGTCAATTATCTATGAAGTTTATTCAAATCAAACAAATTAATGTTGAGACTTGTTTTTCTCCATAGCAATTCAAGAAATTCCTGGTGACGTCAAAGATTTAAAATTCGAGAGGACGACTTGGGAAATGTTAATTTGTTAAGGCTATCACAATATGGACGAGATAGCTTACCTTACGGTTAGTTCTGGGGCAGTTTAATAGTACACTGTCAGTGAAAGAAGAGACTTGTATAAAAGTTAACGGAAAACAATTAGTATGTTCATACTTCTTCAATTGTTCCGTTTATAATAAGTCTGATTTTCCGGACAGGTCCTTCATTTGAGAAACCTGTTGAGTGATATGTATAGAAACAGACTAACAGTTAGGAAAATGTTACACAACCGCAGTATCTTGCTTCTTAAGTTATGTCACCTGTAACAGAAACATGTTACACTGGTGTAACTGGTATATAAGAAATGTGCCAACCGTGAAACTGTATTTATTTTTTATTCACTTATTAATTCCGCACATCTAAAACTGTTGGCGAAAGTTTTATATTAAGTTATGAAGTCTGAATGAAACAACATTAGTTCTCTTTATACGTATTTCTATAGTGTTTGCTCGAGAGGCGTGTTTGTAATCGTTACTTTTCCACAATCAAATAAAGAAATCGATCATATGGAAAATATTTATTTTCAAAATATAACTTCTGAAAATACATATTCTTTAATATATACAAGGGTAAAGAGGTTAGATCACTCCAATAACTGTTGAGATTATTGTCTATAAAAACTCATGTGTCTTATATTAGCCTTGGTGTTCAGGAAAATCTTGACTTCACATATTAAAGAAAAGATAAAAATGTTATGTTGCCTTATTGGACTGTTTCGAACTTATGTCTTTTGTTATGTAGTTATATAGTTATATATTATGGTTTAGACATGCTGACAAGTGACAACTGGTTAAGGAAATAGTTACTAACTAGTTATATTTTATAAGGCAGGTACGTAAACATTTTTTTTCTTTTTCTTTAAATTATCATTTTCTGAGAGGGATGAAAATGTGGTTTATTACGAGTATTTTCAACATAAACTACTATCTGACATCATTTAGCGTGTCAGCTCGTTCACAGTCTGACAAGATTAATACCAAACAATATGACTTTTCGCGATGCAGAGTTATCTGCTCTTAGCAGATATTGGTTGTTACCTCATTGGTTTGTTTGAGAAAACGACGTTGTTTATGACATCACTCTCAGAATCAAATAACGTAATATTTAAAGCCTTCTCACAAGAGCAGGTAATTCGGCATTATAAAATTGTTACTAATGTGTGTAATTGATGCAATTACTGTCATCATTTGTTTATTCTTTTAGCTGAATATTTACGTTTTATATAAATAAATTTTCCTTTTGAACTGTGTATTTTATTGTTTATTGACGAAAAACTGAATTTGACATTTAAGTGATCTCATTTGCATTTTCGAAAAATACTTTGATTTGATGACTTTACTTCATTGTATCTTGATACGAATTCTCAAATATAATCAAGTCTCGGTCTACAAATTTCGATCGTTACTTTGTTGTTTACATTGTTCTCATTAAAGAACGTGACATTACTTACTTGAATTGACAAATGTTTACATGGCGTGTGTCGATGAAGCAAACGGTTTTGGTCTTATTCTCTATTTGTGTAAAGAAAACAGTCTCTCTGTACGGTGTTATTTTGTTTATATTCAATCGTAGTTGCATCGACTTTGAATCAAGGAACTCTTGGCATGTCGGTAGTTTCTTTGTTTGTTTTGAAGGTAGTATCAAAGAGCTCAGTAAAATATTTTGCTAGACTATTTGGTGACGTGTATAGCATTACATTGTGACATTCACACAAAGTGACAGCCACACAAAAATCCCGCTGAATATATCACTATATGGACTATCGTCTGTAAACTGTCAGAGATAACACAATAACAGTTATATCGTTATAACGAATACTTGATCAAGTGTGTTATCACGTGATTATCTAAGTTTATCTACAATATACACGAGTTGTGTCCCTTATTACACAAACTAAAAGATATTTTCTCTAAATACAGGTAACGCATGATAACACATACTACAAAAACAGTTTTTTTTTTAATTTCAGAGTAAGGTACTACTGTGAATGCAAATATATTTAAATGGTTTTTTATTATAAATCTTCAAACGTAATACTTTACCGAATTTTTCGTGGTTGCTCAATTTTCAAATTCCGTAAATGCTACATTGTCAGTATTAAAGATTGAACTAGATACCTCAGAGTTTTTTGTTTTAAGTTAGTCAAACTTAACGTGACGTTTAATGGTTACTTTTGTGATCTTGTCTAGGAATATCTATGCGTTTCTTAGAAGTATACTTGGTTTTGTTATAACCTTGGTAATCCCTTGTTGATGAATGACGTTACTATGACAACAACAACAATAAGAAAATGCCAACATGTCAACATAATCTTAATCTGAACTCAAATTCAGTAAAACTAAGGCAAAATATGAACAAAAGAAAAATTCACACGGAGACATCTTAAAAAGGAAGGTTAAGTGTTCCGAAAGAGTAAGCGTCTTCTCCTTTTTCGAATGACTTACTTTTACATGACGGGTGTCATGGATGAAGTAAAAGATGTTTACCCTACCGGGATGAATGGTCTTATCATCTGTCCAAGTATCAGTTTAAATAATGGCCCAAAATATTTACACTGTTTTTATTACAATAGTGAAGTTCAAAATCGATGACCTGAGCAGCAACTGATTTTTACATCGATTAAATATCATCCATCTTGAGAAATTTACTGAAAAACACGACCATACATTGTATATAAAATATATCATAGATTTGTATTATCTTTTTTCTTTCTCTTCCAAGCCAAAATACTTTAAGACACTAACCATATATTTTGTTTATCCTGCAAACATTCATCGAAAATCTGGCAATCTACACTTAAACTGTTTTGGTGGTCACTCTTTGCTTACCTGTCGTTGACATTACGCTGGATTTTGCCTGGTGACTTGCGTCAAAATAATTGTGTTCCGTGATGAATTGTAGTTCCAATCTTTAACGGATATGACATCGATTTCATGAATTTTCGAAAATAAACTTTTTCATTACAACATATATAATCGCATATTTAAACAGGTTTTTTCATAGTATCAAAAGTAATTCTAAAGTAAATTCAGAAAGAGATTTTGTCAAACTTCCGCGTGTTAAAATAGAGCTGTTTTCCGTCATTGCCAAATACAGCACAAATATATGTGGCAGGTGTATTCCAACAACGACACAGCTACTTGCAGGATATAAGTATATATAATATGTTACATAACTGTTCGCTCATTGTTATGTAAACACCAATTTTGTAATCTGAGACATATATCTATACGCTTATAATACGGGAGACTCATTGACTGGTTATGAACAATATGAGATTATATTTCTAATCAAAATGCCTTCCTTGGGTTCATTCCAATATCTCATATATCCACGACCCGCCTCTGCCGACCGAGCAGAAGGGACATTTACCATATTGACGAATTCTGTTTTATCAATGTTACAATAAAGGTTATACAGGGTCAGGTATAAGTACGAAACGATACATTATAGTTTAGAACCACCACATATTCAACAAAATTACCTGAAATCATTTATTCGATAAACCTTTATACAATATTAACATTCCTGGTGAACAATTAAATGCAGGCTGTAGTTTGTTTATGAAATAAACATTGGAACACGATTATACTTAATTTATAATTCTTTGTTGTCAACAGTTAATGTTTTAGATATAAACGACCAGTCCTAGAAGGATCAAACAGCTGTATCATGTAATTAATTCCGCTTTGGCAGACAATGAATGTCTGACAGTGTGTCTGGTCATTGAAGTTAGACATGAATGTCTGACAGTGTGTCTGGTGACTATATTGAAGTTAGACATGTTGAATGTCTGACAGTGTGTCTGGTGACTATATTGAAGTTAGACATGAATGTCTAGACATGAATGTCTGACAGTGTGTCTGGTGACTATATTGAAGTTAGACATGTTGAATGTCTGACAGTGTGTCTGGTGACTATATTGAAGTTAGACATGTTGAATGTCTGACAGTGTGTCTGGTGACTATATTGAAGTTAGACATGAATGTCTGACAGTGTGTCTGGTGACTATATTGAAGTTAGACATGTTGAATGTCTGACAGTGTGTCCGGTGACTAT